TTTAGATGAGGTTTTCAAGGCAGAGAAGCAGTGGAGCAGCAGTGAGGCCACATTGCTCTGTCACAAACTGCTCTGTCAAGCAACTTGTCAAGGTGCTTTCTCTACATTAGTAAGTAGAAAATTGTCACTAAAAACTAGTAGAAAGTAATCACAAGAAAATTTGAGTCTCTGTACAGAATTTTTTTTACAGTCAGAAAATTCTAATAAATGCCCCTTGTCTTAATGCTGGGCTTAACTTCCAAAAGACATGGTGTATTTCAAGAGTTTGTTAAAGAAGGCAGGTACTTTCCGTAGAGAAGCCTGAGGAAAATCCAATTTTCTTTCATTTCAAAAGAAATTAATTTCTCTTTAATTTCTTCATAGTTCTTCTACAACTCTTTTTCTAAAAAAACCCAAACATTTTCTGTTTTCTTAACACAAGGAATGCATTACATATAAATGATGTTGTGTAGCCTTTGCTATTCTCCAGCCAAGTTATTCAATCACAAACATGGCAGAGGCAATGGATGGTGTCTCATGGCCTGAGCCTTATTTCATTTACCTGTGGCTGTCATTGCTGACTTCAAACAACCTTTTGCCAAATTAATCCAGGAGCTCAGGAACAGGGTCTGACTTTCACCCTGTCTCTACTCATACTCTGCCCATCTGAAATACCTTAATCCCAACCTTCTAGATATGGATACAGCCTTACCAAAACAGATTTTCTCATGCAATGATGAGAAAACATAGAATACTTTCATTTAATCTTACTGACTTGTAATAAATGAATAAATAAATACTGAAACTGAATACATTGTATCTTACTGACCTTACAATTTACTTACCAAACCTTTAGGGACCAAGAACATGCCTAAGACATAACCCAGAAAGTGTTTAAATCAGTGTAAACATAGAAGCTGACAAAAGATCCCTTGAGTCCTGGTTAACTGTCACAGACAAAGCAAACTCTGCTTTCACCAAAGTCCTGAAGAATCTTGTAAAGACAGTCCCAGCAACATTCCTTTGCTCCAGTCCTCTTACAGTGGGGGTTTTTGACTGTGCACAAAGGCTGCAAACAGCCCTTTTTCTGGGATGCACAGATATGATGGTCACCACAGTGGAGTCTCTCAAATGTCCATAAATCACAAGAGGCCGCTGCTGATTTCATAGTGTTTCACTTAGACATACACTGAAAGAGGCCAATTTCCTTTCAATGAGGGAAGATTGTGGAATTATTGCATGTTTTAAAAAGTTGTATGTAAGCACAGACCTCTTTTCAAGCACCACAAACCTAATTTTGAGACAAAGGAAATAAATCTGATGGGGTCATAGGGGACCCAAGCTGTGACCCTCTCAGCAACTGAAGATGGAGAGCTTAGACCGGACTAAGTCAGTGATTATAGGGCTTGTTGTAGCATTATCTTAGGCTGTAATAGAAAAGAAAAAAAATCCACATAGCTGCTTAATTGTACTTCAGTTTGAGGAAATGTAAAGACCTCATTTAACTGCCTGTACTTGCTATTGACAAATTTCAGAAGAGGTCTGACAGGGAGAAAAAGAAGGGTTTATTTAAATGAAATTCCACAGCATAGTGTCCAACTGCTTTTAGATTGTTCTAAACAAGAGATCCAGGAGTGAACATTTTTCTCACAACTCACTTGAATTCCAAAAGGTTAATTTGCATTTCTATTCTCATAATTGACAACTTAATTTGTTCCAGATGTTTTAAAGAAAATGTAGATATAGTAACAGAAAAAAAAAGTTTAAAAATCAGCTCCTAAGCAATATAATTTTAAAACTATCTGAAGAAGGCAACAATCATAAAATTCCTTGTCTTTTAATAGTCTTCTTTTCTGATAGTCTTCAAGAAACTAATATAGCTCTGTCAAAGAAAAAGCAAGAAACTTTCTGAGGAACAAAAATAAATATTGAAACTATGATGAAAAGTATATTTTGAGTTGAATTTTCAAAAGACATCTCTCTCTGAAGCTTTTGTATTGGCTTCCATGGTTCTAATATTGCTCTGTTGCTAGTATGGCAGAAAATGTTCAGGATGAGGAGTTACAACCAGTTCATCTTATTCTAAGAATTCCTTAAAATTCCCAAATGAGAACACACAGAGAAAAAATTCTTATCCACTTCTTGTGGTCTCAGAAGGATTGGTCAGAGCACAACTGCTTAAGATCATTCTTCTCTTGAAATTCAAACTCAAATGACCAAGACAATGAAATACTGTGGTTCACCGAACACAGACAAATAACCCACTTTACTCAGATTCCTGCCCAAGCCCTTGCACACCATTCTTGCTGCTTCCAGAGCAGTCTGGAATTTCCATAAAATTGTACATGGATTGCTGGGGTTGCTTTAGTTATAGCACTCATTCCTTTAATGATGGTTAAATAACTGTGAAAGGTCCACATTCAACCTTAATAAATTTCAATCAAAGCTGCTTGTTTAGAATGAAATAATTTAATGATAAAAACTGAATCAGCTTTGAAATAAGTTTAAATCAAATTTAAAATATTGAAAAATGTGACAATTAAGGAGTAGATGCATGTTCAGTTTTGTAACCTTGAATGTCTGCCCCAAAAAACAGGATACATATGATCTACATTTCAGACCAATTCCAGAAAAACCAACCAAGAGTAAATTATTGTATTCATACATCCATGTCTCTCATAGTAATTTTTTATCATAATGTTGTACTAACTATTAAGATTTCAAGAAGAATTCTGTGAGCTCAGAATTACCCCTGAGGCCTGGGAGTGCTTGTTTGGTCTTGTAGTTAGGCAAACAAAGCAAAGTTGTGCTAAGTAGCAGACTAAAGGCAGATGGTGGTTCCCCTCTGCCACCCTAAAGCCCAAACAGGACATTGAAATTTGGTCCTGTGATAACTAGGCATTGCTAGCTACTTGTCTCCCAGTGACCTCTCTTCCTGGCATTATATCAGCCCAAAAACCAATGATTTTCCATATTGGATATACTGGAAAGTATCCACATAATCATTTCAAGTATATTATTCCCAAAGTTCTTATGTCTTAAAATATTTTTAAAACCTTTTTCTGGGCAAAAAGTTGAATGAGTTTAACAGCTTCAGAAGTTCAATTTTTCCTCTGAGAAAAGCCCCAAACCCAACTCCAAAGCAAAAACATTTAGCTAAAATGGCTGATTTGCCAAATTTGGAGCCTGCGCTTTGCAGCTCAGTTGAAAAACCAAGATTATTTTTTAAGATAAATTTAGCTTTTATACTAAGAAACTCTCATGTTATTTTAATACCTATTAATTTCTGTTACCCAGTGGTACAGAAACACATGGAAATGAAAAATATAATGGGCAGTTGGGGAAATTTATTCTTATTCAGAAAATGTATTGGGGAAGCTTCCAGTCAAATTATGCAGAGGGATGCATGTAGAATGTGTTGTGGGAATTCTTTTGGCCTCAACAATTTCTCTTTATCTATTTATCTGTGATTCAGCTACTTCTCTGATAATTGACCTGCAATCTCTCTCTGCCTGTGTTAATCATAGCTATTACAGATTTGAAGCACCCCTTCAAAATATAAAGGAATCACAATTTATCATTCAGGATAAAGACAATTAAATGAATGTCTTAGCTTTACTTCTCTAATTTAAATACCTTGAAATATCTTCTTATCATGCTTGGTTATCACTATGGAATACTAGAAAAAAGCAGCTCTTATCCTTCCAGGTTAAAATAACTTTTCCCCTATATCCAGACATGTTTTACAACTTGGAACTACTTTATTTGCATAACTTCCTGAAACTATTTCAGGAAACTGTGTGAGTCTCTTCTATATGCTAAAAAACAAAACCAAACACACTCACATACTCTGAAGCCTCCTCAAAAAGTCAAGACTAGGAAGCATTTAGCAGAATCTTCCAAATTAACTTCAAATTTTTATGCTATGAAGAGCAGCAATCAGGAACACAAGCCAGCTAAGGAACATTCTTCCTTTTTTTTTGTTAGTGAAACTGAAGTTGCCTTCTCCTAACACTCCAAATCACTGTTGTCATGCAGTGATCACTTTTAGAAAATAAGTTTTTAAAGCATATAATAGCAGTAATATTATTTGAAAGGAAAATATTTCATTTATAAATGAAGAAGAGAAAACCTATGAGGAAAATGCAGTCTAGACATATGCCTATAAATTCTAGCCATATAATAAAAGAGAAGGTGATACTCAACATCCATGGATCCATTGAGTCCATGGATCACTCTGCTTCTGTTATCATGGTTGAAATCCTGTCATTATCTCAAACATAGTGTCACCTGTTTGAAGATCACATGAATGTGGCAATAGAAATATATGGAATAAGTGCACTGATATAAACCAAAGGAGCTGGGAAGTGCGCATCATGGCCTACTGTCTTCTGTGCCTCATACAAGTTGACTATAAAATTTTCCTCATAAATGTCTTGCCATAAGAGTCAAAACTGCTGGTGTAAATTGAAATTTCCAATAGTCTATGGGGTTGCTTAATGCCTGGAATTTTTTTTATGCGACAATACATGCTTGAATATAAATTTTTCACTTTTTGAAAGTTGTTGTTATTTTATTCATGTGTAATAGCTGTTGAGAAGAAATTACATGGCTCATTCAGACATTCGAGCATTTTACTGATGGCATTGAAAAATTTACATAGCTTATTTTGTGGTGAATATGAATATTTTCATTCCAACTCCAACAATAAGAGGTAAAAACTTCAGTATAAGAAGAAGAAACAGCAGAAAAAAGATTGTCGTAGTGACTACAAAAAAGTCTCATGATGTAGTTTAGAACCCTGAATTTAATCTGTGCAGCTTTGCAACACATTTAAATAAAATCAATAGCACCAATATACACATGGTATCAATTGCACCTTACAGGCATTATTTAAATCTATTCTCATAGGTTCGATGACAGACAACTAAATTATTACTTAGAAATGAACATTATATATTATATGCATTTATGCTAAGTTTCTTTCTTTATGACTAACAGAACAGTAAAGAAAGACTTACCATTCTTCTTATAGAACATGATTTCTCCTTTAAATTCTATCTTTTCCTCCAACGATTTCTCAATTTGAAGAATCATCTGCTCGTTTGTTTCAGCACCAAGTAAGAATTTACAGCTGCAGCTCTTCTGCATGACTTCAGTCCGTGCAAATCCAGCAAGCTCACAAAAGCCATCAGAGCAGTAAACAATGGGGAATCCCTTAGCCACCTGAGCATTTGCAAGGATAAAGTTACTATCTGCAGAAGAACACAAAAGTAAAATATGAATTAAAGTCTAAATTCTGCACCCTTTGACACAGTGCTTTCTATAACATCATAAGAAGGCACAACTGGACAGATATTTCAAAGCAAAGTCCCAACTGCCTGCAAACAAGGATATAAATTCTGGTTTCAGACTAGTATTGTGAAATTAAGTCAAAGATCTAGTCCACAGATCATATACAACAGTTCTTCATGGCTTTGTACAGTTTGCCTCATTGTCTCCTCAGGGAATACTTTATGATAGTTGCCTCTGAGATAGAAGTCAACACATTAAAACAACCACTTCACCAAAGACTGGTGACAAATATCAAAATTTTGGAGAAATTTCAAATGTTATGCTGCCACGCAGATTACTCTGCAGTCTGAACAGACATGGCTACATCATAAACCCCAAAAATATCCATGGTCTCAATAAGAGAATGGTGACTTATGTCACCAAACTAATTTATTCTATAGAATTTTGCAAGGGAATCCTTAAAAACACAGTTGAGTGAACACACCAGGGTAAGTGGAATTAGGGACATTCTAAACTACATTTGTCCTTTATGGGAGGTGGGGTAGATCTGGGGGTTTTTTGTTTGGTTTGTTTATTTTGTTTTTTGTTAATTTGTTTGTTTTTTGTTTTCTTTGTTTTTGAGGAAAAAAGATTTCATTTTAAATCAGTCACCTATCTTTTGGAGTCCCACCCTACTTCTTCCATATGAAACAGGCACATCAAAGATTCACCATTCTGTTATACTTAATGCTCCTTATATTTCTCAGTGTGTTTAAGCTGCAGCTACTGTGTATGATACATTCAAGTGTAGCATATTGACATGGACATCAATCAACCAAATTTGGTGTCCTAATTTGATTTCAAATCTTCAGTAAATCCAACAGTTGAACCTCTTGGCAGCCTAATAGCTCATTCCCATCCCTCTCTGAAATGGTTTTGAAGGCTTTGAACCTCAGAACTTCATCTCCAGCCCATGTCAACAAGTCTGACCCTTTACATCATTTTTCAGTTATCAGGGATACCCTTTCCAGATAACATATGAACTTCTCATACAGGTGTTTTGCCTGTGTGTCCTTATCTTGAAGTGAAAAAAAAGTTTTATGGGCAGAATCCATCTACATTTCACATGGAGGGAGGAAAGACTATTTTTTACCCATTGCTTGTTAAGGAATGTTTACCTTACAGCTTGCTAGCAGGAGCTTAAGAGCAGTCTAGTCCCAAGACAGACACCTCTCATTTTTCAGACTTATGTGCAAGTGAATTCATGTCCACGTATTAAGGGGAAATACTATTAACTAACTCATAATCCCTTGATAAATATTCATAAATTTAAAGAGAAAGAAATGAATTATTTTAATGGAAAACTCAGGTTGATATACCTAATCCCCATACAGGTATGTATTATTTATGATCGGGAAGGGAGGAACAGAATCCATACACTAAAATAGGGGAAAAATAAGTCTGTTTTTCAATCTGAACTGTCGCAAGAGTTCTACATTTGTGAAATCCCAAAATCCAACTATGTTACTCTTTAATTACCCAAGGGATAAAACACTATGTCTTATACTGCTTTCAGTATTTTAAAGGTAATGGAGGTTTATTAAATGACCAATTTTCTCTCAAGACTTTCCTTCAGTTACCCACATTTTGTACAGATTTAATTAAATCCTTTCAATACATGATTGTTTATGTTAAAACAGTCTTTTCCCACTTACCAAATAATGTGTTTTTAAAATGCATTCTGGTTCAGTGCAGTGCTTGATTTAGTCTGTCATTTTTATTTGCCTAACTGGGGAAGAAGTATCATTACCATTCATGCACTAACATGCTGCTGCCCCTGTCAACACAAAACTAAATCCCCACACTGCCAAAATCATTAAAATCATATGCTTGCAATGCATAATGGAAGTGTGACAGTGCAAGACCAGCAGATCATTCATACCAAATATATTTATAGCTGGAAAATTAATTTACTGCTCTGATTCTTGTTGTTTAAAATACAATTATGTAATGCAAAGATTGCTGTAGGGTTTTGTTTTTCTTTTTAATTCTAATTGTTGAGAGTAGTATGAAGCAGAATCTGGAACACCAAAAGGACACAAAAGGTGGAGAGGATGCACAGTAGTGAATGAATGTCATTATGAACAGGAATACACTGGAGCTTACCAAGCATACCATGGCTTTATGAAAAATATAAGGCGGCCAAACTCTATTGTCAGTTACACCAAAAAGAACCTGGAATAATTGTGGTGTCTTTAACATTCATGAAATAAACCAGTTTACTTATAAATGCCAACCCAGTGCCAGCTAGAATAACAGCCAATCTTTCTCTTAATATCAGCAGGTTTTTAAGCCTAATTTTACTGAACTTTTTGTAGTACAACAGCAAAGCATCAGGAAAATGCAATCAGAATTATATTTGCTTCTCTTCTTGAGCTTGAATTTAAAAAAACAGAGAGATGCACCTACAGTCCCAAACTAAGGGACATATCTAAATAATTTGTTGAAAAAATTCTTGTCATACTAAAAGGACCAAGAAATATTACGCCCAGTAATTACGTGTATCATCCAATTCTTCAGCAACATTTATAAAGTGATTAATATTTACCTATTGCTTAAAGAAAATAAAAAAAAAACCCCAACAAACCCACAGCTCAAAATATTCTGGTTAAAAGTTTGTTTAGTTCTGTAATTTATTTTTATAGCTTCAAATCTCTAATATCACTTGCTATTACTTGTGTATGTAAAACATTATAAAATATTTCAAAAAAGAAGTATTGAGGGTGAAATTTCTATCATTCAGTCTTTGTTGTGACACAACAAATCCATCATTTAATTTAATGGTCTTCAATGATAACTAGCTGGATTTTTAAATTTAGAGTAAGATAAATGAAATATACTTCAGAATAATTTATTAGAAACTTATGGACTGGAAGACAACATATTTTATTATTTTTGAACTTGCAGTAGGAAAGTTGCAATGAGTGATACTAATGTGTTGGTTTGTATATTTTTGGTATATATTTGTGTGTAGATTGCAAAGCTTCCATAATAATATGCAAGTTATTGAATTCCATATTATGTTTTCAGCACATTGGCTTGAATATTAAGTTATTTTATTGATCAGGTTGGTTGATCAGCAGACAATATTAGATTACTGGTGGATGTTTCCTTTTAATTTCATTTTTAGATCAGAAAATTCATCCAAGCAAAATACTTGATCTATTGAGAAAGATGTAACCCTGAGCCTTTGGAGCAACAGAGTAGAGCTGCTGAAAATCTGTGTAAGAAAGAACAGATTTGGAGTATTGAGGAATAAATCTGGTGCAGGCAGCTCAGTTTGCCATCTGCTCACTGAGATGCAAAGTGAGCTTCGAGTGGGAGCCAGAGATGACACCATGACCTGCCAACCCTTTGGTCAGCAAAGGGTGAAAGATGGGTAGATGGACTCTGGGAGACGCAGAAGGAGCAGAGGACTCAGGAGAAAGAGAGACTTGTGTGAGGAGAGACTGTGAGGGTATAAAATCCTTGGGTTTCCTTTGCTGAGGGTCCTCCTTGGAGGCATCAGCTGGGGATGTTTCTGTGTTGCTGCACCAAGAACAAATGTCTTTATGGAAAGAGTCATCTGAGCTCTGCTCTGGGAGAGCTATGGTGGATCTGGGAAGGAAACCTGATCTGACTGTGAGTGTGGGGTGTACAGGGAGTCAAGCAGGCACCTGTCAGGTCACAGGAGCCACCCACAGGGAAGGGGCCTCGGTGCCAGCAGTGAAAGTCTCTGAGCTGGGAGTGAGACTGCCAGAGAGTCCAGAGAATGGGCAGACTGGATGCTTTTTTAACCACTTGACTCTAGGTCTCAGCTCAGAAATTAAGTGGTGTAAGTCTCTACAAAATAAATTTTTAAAAATTCAAATTGGATATTTGTATATTGGCTTTGGATAAAATTCTTGATTGTTTGTTCAAGCCTGCGAGAGCTGCGTGAAGGATGATTTAAAAGTGCTTCTGCTAAGATGAGAAGAAGCCTAAACACAAAATATCCAACATTCACGAGGTTTTCCTTTAGCAGCAAGTCAGCAGAAATGGATGAGTGTGAGAGAGGTCCCTGGTTTGCCAGTGCAATTTAAAAGCAGATTTCTTTCAATTGTGATTCTTTTACTTTAAGCTCATTTTCCATGAAGATCAAGTTACTTTTTCACATGAAAGTTTGAAGGAAGACTATTAGGAGCTTGCATGCCTGCCGTCATTTCAGAAGTAGAACATACTGGAGAGGATAGGACATTGATCAATGGAAGACTCCTGGTTTTCAGAAATCTCTGCCAGAAACACAGCATAAAGCCAGAGACAATCAAATAAGATGAGCCAGAACCATGACAACTGTACCTTCAGTCACAGGCTTAGACAAAGTTGCCCTGTTTCAATGATGTGATACCCCAAAATCATAACTGGAGCGACAGAAATTTAGATCTCATGCTATCTTATACAGAGAATCTTATTCATCAAACGTCTCATGATAGAGTTTTACGATTGAGATAATTAAAGAAAAAGGCTTTATACTCTTCCTCCTAATTAATGCCCACAATTTATCTGGCTGTTTGTAATGACACTGTTACATTTATACTCTGCACTCTCTTCATGAATCCTACTGTCACATCCAGCAAAAAATGACAAAAGAATTTTTGCTTTAATACCGTGGCTATGTCTGATGTAAATCTCATCATTGTGCTTCTATGTTCTTTTCACAGTTCTTTTCACAGTTCTTTTCAATCAAAGTCCAGAAGTTTTCATGAGGAGAACACCTGACTTCTTTTGCAACTGAGAAAAGCCAACAAGCGCTCTAATTTTAAAAGTTAAATTATTTAAAAATGAAAGAGGAAGAAAAAATCCTACAACAGAAAAAATCTTTAGCAATTGAAGAAGCTGCATTAAATAAGCAAGCGACTCACATAGTTACTCTACATATTGTACAGCAGTCTATAATTCTTCT